GCAGTCACGAAAGCAGTTTGTGAATGCATTTGGAACTGCCTGTTTGCAGTCCAGTACCGCCACAAGTTTCAACCGCATGCTCTCTCTCTCTCTCTCTCTCTCTCTCTCTCTCTCTCTCTCTCTCTCTCTCTCTCTCTCTCTCTGTGTGTGTCTGTTGTTGGTGTGTGGAGTTAGCAAATGGTGTGCGGAGTTAATCTTGCCCTGTTTTTTTTCGTTTATTTTCCCTCTTTCCCTCTAGTACCTCTACCACCCACCTGTCCCCCAACCCGTCCCACACCAGTCACACTGTTCCACATACCTGGCTAGTGGGATCGCCCTCCTGGAATCGGAAGTTCCGCCTGTGGAATGGTTGCCTTGCGGAGAACATTGGCGTTTTTTTAACAAGGGACACAGAACATAGGCGTTTGTTTTTTTTTTGCCTCCGAGTTCTGAGTTTTTTTCGTTGTTCTTTGGTTGTTTGTTTTTGCGTTTCATGTCGTCTTGTGTTTTCCCTTTGATGTCTAGGTGTTCTGCAGTTTTGCATTCGTCGATTTTTGCCTGTATCATAGCGTTTCTTTGCCGCTCTGACGCCGACTTCGATCTCTATTGCGAATTTGCAACATTCTCAGAGGGTTCCGACATCGTCTTTTTTCGCGGTTGGCGGCTTTCATCATGTCGCAGGACCGGGGGAAGGATCCGGTAGACTCGCTCACGACCGCCCGACAAGGTCATAACACGAAGACGTTTGACTCGCCGTTCAAGGTCGACCCGAAAATCGACGGCAAGAGGGACGACCCGGTGTGGCATTTCGTAGCCAGAGGGCGTTATTTAGATGGGTCGACGGTGGCGGGTAGGAAGTGCAGTCATCGATGCCTTTGCAGGTTGTGCGGGCGTTCGATTTGTGGGGGCGCTAAAGCCACCAAGGAGAACTTCTCGAAGAGCGAGAAGTTCCGATGTGAGGCAGCCACTCCTGCTGTGTGGTATGCGATCTGGTCGAAGGACATGACAAAATGTCCGAAGGAGTTCGCGTCGGCCATAGAAACGTTGCAGAGCTTATTGCCAGGCCATCCGAGCTTGCAGTGGCCACCTCTTCGATTCCCCGAGGATGCAGTGCCGCCGCTGGTTCCTCCCACCGCCCCTTCAGGAGCGGTCGCATCGCCCAATTCTGGGACTCCGACCATTCGAGTCACGGTACCGCGTCCTGCATCAACAGTTGCAACACGACCGGCAGCCCCGCCGTCTGCGCCGCTGGCTGGGACACGAGGTGCTCGCGATGTGGGAGTTGGTCGTTCCACGACAGCCAACGAGCCCCCGCCTGTGGGGGGTGGTGTGGGCTCTGCGGCATTTGACGAGGCGAGCACCCGTGCATTTATTGAGAGTCGCAGGTGGGGGGGGAGTGCCGGCAGTTCAGCGCCCGCGCTCGCCCCTGTTTTCAGGAGTGCTAGGCAGTCAGATGCCGCACGGGGTGGTACTGCGGTGGCACCTGGTGCATCGCCCCGCAGTTCGTCAGAGCACCCCTGGCTGCCACTGCCACCGTCGAGAGCGGCACAGCGTCCAGTGGTCCACCACGCTCACGGAACCGCCCACCCGGATCCGTCACACGCGCCTGCAGATGCTCGACAATCTGCCTTCGTGCCTCGTTTTGGGGAACAGGTGGATTATGGGGTGTCTGCCGAGGAGGTCCGCGCTCCGGTGTCCGATTCATCGCCGACCCCTATTTCGACAACCACGGCCGGTGGTCGGTCTGCCCCACAGCCTCCACCCGTGTTGACCGGATCGTTAGACCCGTTGCAGCGCATTCGTGACCTTGCAGTCGCCCAGAGCGCGGCACCTGTGAGCCCTGGTGGGTTTTTGGATGCTGGGGTCCTCGGCGAGAAAGCTACGACGGGACGATGTCGGGGCACTTACAGGCAGCAAGCCGTCACGTCATATTATTCGGACCCTTTGGAGCGCGCGTGGCATCTGCAAATCATGCGGTTCATCGTTGAGAGCGGGATGCCGTTCAACAGCACGAAGCTTGAAAGCTTCAAACGCATGTTCACGATGATAATCCCGTCGGGGGTTCCTGGGGCGCCCGCACCTAGACTTCCCTCCTACCACATGCTGCGCACGACCCTTTTGGACGAGTTGGATGGTGAGGTCCAAAAGTGTGTTCGGCCGGTGCTTGACACGTCGAGAGAGACCGGTTGCACAATCATGAYCGATGGTTGGAYYAACATCCGTGGTCAGACGTTGTGCAACTACCTYRTTGGTACAGAGATCGGGGTGGTGTATGTGTCCACCGACGTCATGCGCGGCAAAAAGGACGCCAGTGCCCTCGCGAACGCATGGTTGAAAAGGGTGAAGTCCATGGACATTCAATTGAGCGACATCACGACGTTCATGACGGACTCCACCGGGGTGAACGTGGCGGCGATGGAGGTATTCCAAAAAGATGAGAGCGTGAAACACATCTTCTGGATTCCTTGCGTCGCCCACATCATGGACCTCATTCTCGAGGACATCGGCGGGATTGATTGGGTGGYTTCCCKCATTGCGCAAGCGAGGCTGGTTACAMGGTTCTTCAAGCGCCATGGACATGCGAGAGCGGTTCTTGAGGCGCACCCGACGAAGACTCTTCTACTACCGGCGGAGACACGTTTCGGCACGAAGGTCATCATGATGACGAGGCTGGTGGAACTGCGGGCAGCTTTGACAAATGTTGTGGGCGACGATCGCTGGCGYGAGACTGTTTGGTCGACCAGCAAGATCCGYAAGGACGCMGCGGAGGTCACTGCGTGTATCGGCTCCCCTCCATGGTGGGAGGATTTGAGAGCTCTWTGCAAGATSCTMGAGCCCATMATGGACATGYTGARGTTGGTGGAYARCGACACACGCCARATCAGCAAGATTCTGCGACRKTACGAGGAGATGATTGCRTCTTGTTTATCYGCATGTCGTGACATTGATCGGGASCAGCAGGACGCTATTGTYGAGGTKTTCCWCARGCGGCGCACCATGTTCAAGACCCCCRCCCACACGGCAGCCATGCTGCTAGATCCAGAGTTCCGGAACACGATGCTGTGTGACGATGCGGAGGTGCAGTAGGCCTTGGTCGAGACCTTGGTACAGTTCGGATACGCGGAGGGATCGCCGCAGCACCGGGAGGTCCAACGAGCGGTCRCCAAGYTCCACACGAGGGARCCCCCTTTCGATGAGCTCACCATGYGRCGAGCTGYGGATMTCTTTGATCACCCTGCSAGTTTTTGGTCCTCTAAGAAGGCGAAGTTCCCTCACACGGCCGTGTTTGCAGGCAGGATCCTTCGTATATGGGCGACCGCATCACCGTGCGAGAGAGCCTGGTCTCGTTGGAGCTTCATTCATTCGAAGTCTCGCAACAGGTTGGAGGTTCCCAGGGCTGAGAAGCTTGTGCGGTGCCACTGGAACCTCAGGCTACTCGATCGACCTTCGTTGTGCGACGATGTTGTTGGAGAGAGGCCCGACATCTTTGGGAAATGAGTGCATTATTGGCAGGCCGTGGAGGACGAGGCAGCCGTGGACCAGCAGCTCGTCAGAGGCACCGATGCGCTGGCGAAGGTGACCGAGGAGGAGTTGAGCCTCGCCAAAGAGAGGATGCGCGCCGTTTCCCGCATGGGAGCCGAGTGTCGGGTGGCGGAGTCGGACAGGAGGCGACGCAGGGCCGGTGGTCGGGGACGTGGCGGCCGTGGACGAGCAGGTGTCGGAGGACGTACACGTGGCGATGCGGGTTCCGCTCCTCGGACTCGGCGACAGCGGACGGATGGTTGCATTCGCAGGGCCCGCATGCGTTGGGACGAGGGTGACTTCTTGTTCGACAGCACATCCAGCGACGACGACGATTTCTTTGCGTCGGGAACACATGAATCCACGGGCGATGGTAGAGGTGACGCTGACGACAGGGGCGATGACAGAGGCGACGGTGACAACAGAGGTGATGGCGCAGGGCCCGGGGGAGGGGGAGGGGGA